GTCGCTAGCTCTGTGATTGAGTAACGCGTACAGGAGCACAAATCAACATAGGCAAAGCTAAACATAAATACGCACGCAGTATACTGATCATACCACTATTAGCAACCTATGACGGCTACAACAGCTGGTTATCAAAACTAACATTTAAAAGAAATTTTCCTATAGTGTACTACTTTTTTTTCAAATTTGTGTTTTTCTGTTTATATTTTGAATATTCCTTGTTTTTACAATTTACCTTTTATTTATTTATTTATTTTATTTTTTTATTTTATTTTACTGTTAATTTTCAAATCAGGATTTTTAATTTTAGTTAAGTTTTTAGTTTTGTTAAGTTACAATAACTTTAAATCATTTATATTTTTTAATGTTTCTCTTTTGCCTACTTGTTTTGATGATGGAGAAAGGGCAGTTTACTGTTTGGGCTTGTGCCTATTCCTTGCTCCTGACAAGATTGTAATTTTACTTTGCCGAATAAATATTATTATTTATTATTATTATTATTATTATTATTATTATTATTATTATTATTCACAGCTCTTCTAATTGCTTATTAATTCACCGGGAATGAATTATTGATTTCTGTTCCTCACACAAAAATGAAATTATTAAGTTCCTCACACGAGGGATGGAATTAAATATGGCTTAGTAGTCTCCCAGGGTTTTCAATATGGTAAACAAGTCCTTTTCATTCAAGTTCTATTTATTTATCACCATGGCTACGTTATTGTCTACTCTGGTCTTATACTAGCCATTTAAGTACAGTACAGGAGAGGTAACTTGGCTCATTAGGAAATGAATTACTTAATCAATTCAACAGACTATAATGAAATTAATAAATAAGAACTGTTTTTCGCACAGCACATTCCTCTTTATCCTCACAGTTTAAGGTCAAGGCAGAGCTTCCCAAACCCTTTCTTCCCCAGGGACCCACTTTGGTTATAGGCCTTTGGTGATCCACTAAATGAGTATAATAATTTTAATACTGTAGATCAGCCATGATTTATCAACAAAACAAAAACAAACAGAACGTAACAAACTCATTTTTGCCATATGTCTGTCACCTACAGTATATAACAAAGTATTCACCAGATAGTTTAATTTCTTTACAGAATACTGTCCAATAACACTTCAACTCATACAGTACCTCTAAGGCATACAACTTACTTTGGTCTTCTGTCACTGTACTGTATATATTTTTATTAATTTAACTGTAATTTTAATATTTTTTTTGCACTGTATGTATAGGTTTATATTTTTTTGTACATCATTTCCAGCCATTTTTTTTAGCAAACTGTTCGATTAGACCAAATAGAAACATGAAAGTTTGATTAAATTGTCACCACAATTAACTCTCTACCACCAATACTTGCGGAGATATAAGGACTAAAGGCCAACTCAGACAGCGTCGGCCGACGCAGCCCGACCCGATTTATCGTCGGGGACAGTCTTAAGCCGTCGTGAGAAATATTAAACACGTTTAATATTCTACTACGCGAATGCCCCCGACGCACACCATCGCGTCTGCGTTCAACTCACTCAGACCCGACGCGACACAAATCGTGTCGGGCTGCGTCGGCCGACGCTGTCTGAGTTGGCCTTAAGGCTATGACATTGAAACATGTCAAAGGTTAGAAACGGCATTTCCGCTCATTTTTAGAAAAAAATTCTATTACAGTAAATAGAAACATAGAGGTTCCAAACAAATTGGTACCAAAATTAACTCTCTACCACCAGTGGTTGCGGAGATAATAACGACTCAATGGCTATCATATATAAAATACTGTATGTTAAAGGTCAGAAATGGCAGTTCTGGTCCTTTTTTAGCCAACTCATTTATAAGACCAAATAGAAACATGAATATTTTCCGAACAAATTGACACCACAATTAACTCTCTACCACCAGTGGTTACGGAGATATTAGGACCATATGGCTATGACCTTGAAACATGTCGAAGGTCAGAAATGGCATTTCCGTTCATTTTTTTAGCAAACTCTTTTATTAGGCGAAATAGAAACATGAATGTTCCGAACAAATTTACACCAAAATTAACTCTCTACCGCCAGTGGTTGCGAAAATATAAGGACAATATGGCTATGACCTTGAAGCATGTCTAAGGTCAGAACCGGCATTTCCAGTCATTTTTTAGCAAAATGTTCTATTAGAGCAAATATAAATATGCATGTTCCAAACAATTTGGCATCAAATTCAACTCTCTACCACCTGTGGTTGCGGAGATAAAAGGACCTTAGCTTTAACTTTTACCCTGACCTTTTGCCACATTTTGAAAATATGTTTAATACCAAGCCAAAAATGATTCTTGGACCACCCTGAACCAATTTCTGAAGTCAAATTCTCTGCACTTTAAAGTGCATACAAAACCTCCTAGTGTATTTCTGTTGGTTACGTATTACAGCTTGTATTTATTTGTTTTAATAATTATAGTATTAAAATACAGTACTATAAATCGAATAATTTGTTTTCTTATTCCAGTGACAGAAATAATTCATTATGTACTGGTACGTTTTTATGACCCACTGAAATTTAATGATGAAAGTTAACAACATAACAAATAATGACAACTATTACGATAACAACAACTGCAATCTAACACTCATTAAACAATATCAACTACAGTACTGTAGAATGTCAGTCACTCAATAGAGTAAATACCTCCCACCCTGTGTGTGACTACTGTACAATACACAGGCTGTGTATGATGGGTGCTTCCATTATTTTCTTTGATGTTTGCGGTAAGAAAATTCATTTCTGTGAACTTGACCTATGACCATTTCTTCCCAAAATTGTATCATCTCTTTCTCTGATTATTAATTAAGTACCATTCTATATTGATCCATAGATTATTTTTTGTGTACAGGACACATGGTAGACGTAATCAGACAGACAGCAGTGTATACATTTTAATGGCAATTTTATAGTGAAGTGTGCAGTCTGTAATGTTTACCAGAATTGAATCACAAAAGAAAAAAAAAAAAAAAAAATGCAAACTGATGTGTATTGTATGTGAATAAAATTGAGACTCGCATTCACAAATCTTTCAGTTTCAGGAAGTGTACATAAAAAATGTTGATTTTACAGTATAACATCTACTATTTTATTTACAGTATCCATTATATCCTTCTACTGTATATTTGTAGAGTCGAGACTTTATACCCTTTCAAAGGAACCTGCCACCAGCCAATAATAATAGTGATTTTGAATAAAAATAAAATTTAATTTCTGGGCTAAAAGTGCTCCCACCGCCATGAAAAAAATGGAAATTTCAGAAAAAATTTATGTTTTTCTTTATTCTTACTACGTTCGCCGCTGCCTTGAAGTGCCCTAACATAAGATGTATATCTTCCTAATTATATAAATTTAAAGCATTTAACCATCCTATTACTACACTGTTTACATTTACCAATAGAATTGTATTGTATTTCTCCTCCGTCTGGATTTTTTGGCCAAACTATTGGTAAATG